ATCTCAAATTTTGGTTGAATTTGTATACTATTTATCATAATTATCACTAATGTTTGTGTTTTTGTTAATATGTTTGAGAAGCAACAAAGAGTATATGTTCCTGGCGTAAAGAGGGAAGAGGAAGCACTGGAGTTCGAGGTGTACAAGCTCAAGACATAGATATGCAACCGGCGGCATAGAAGAGACGGGGGAAGAAGAAAAGAGGAGAGCAAATGACTAAATTGCCCCCAAAATTTTATCCATTACAAGATTCCGGCGATAATTGGCCGGTAATTTGGCCGGATGGACCAAAATTGATAAAAATTGGATAGTCAAGGTACTCAATTGTTAGTTTTTAAAGTCGTGGATTGAAATTAACAATACCCAAATAGTCATTGGACCAAAATTGAAATTTACTCTTTTTTACCACAAATAGTCCTCCGCTAGTTTTTCTGTTAAGTGAGTGTTAAATTTAAGGGTATTATTGTCGAATCAAAGAACAAAATAAAATAATTGACAACAAAAATCCATTTGAGCTACCTTTCTTGATGCTGCAATTCGGAAATGCAGTAGTAAAGTAGCATTCCCATGCTAATGCAGCATTAATTATAAATCAAGTGTACTTATGGGTGTTCCCCTTCCAGTTTTATAAAAAAAATTATAAATCAAGTAATGCTATACTTCTATTTTTTGTTACTCCTGACATACATCAATTGGTCTTAAGAAAATAGGATCACAAATCACAATTTCTATATTTTCTTTTCCCATCCTTCTAATGAAATCAATATAATACATGTGATAATATATACGAATTGGATCTATATTCACCCCATAGTTCGCCATGACTGTCATGACAAGAGTGTTAATTAGGTACTAAAAAAACATAACTATATACAGAGCAAATGTTATGGGGCGAATTGAAGAAGACAACAAACACAAAGGAAATTAAATCAGCAAGGGTCATGCTAGCTTCAGTCGCCTGATTAGCATGGGCAGATGAAACAAAATACGAGAACTGTTGAGCATATAGCCATTAATGTGCAATCCAACTATTAGCTTAGGCTTTTAGTTGAGATGGAGCACATGCTTCAATTTGGTATCAGAGCCAGACCAAAGGTCGTGAGTTCGAATCTCTACGTCACCCGATAAGCGACTATGGTCCACGTGCTTGGAACCCACCGCACACTTGAGGGGGCGTGTTGAGCATATAGCCATTAATGTGACCATGGTCCACGTGTTGCTTGGAACCCACTGCACACGTGAGGGGGCGTGTTGAATATATGGCCATTAATGTGCAATCCAACTATTAGCTTAGGTTTTTAGTTGAGATGGAGCACATGCTTCAATTTGACGATAATACCCTTAAATTTAACACTCACTTGACAGGAAAACTAACGGAGGACTATTTGTGGTAAAAAAAATGCAAGTCGAGGTATGTGTTTTGGTCGAATTGAAAGTCAAGGACTAAAAGGAGTACTACCTCAACAGTCAGAGGACCATTTGTGGTATTAACTCTCTAAAATAAAAGAGTAAAAATCTTTTACATGTAGCAACTTTTACCAAAATAGTAATTGGGTATATTCACCAAGATAATATTTGGTTTGTTGGTTCCTTAGTGTACTTATTGTTATTCTTATGGAAATTATCAAAAACTCTCACAAAACCCTTGCCTTGAAAACGACTATATAGTTCTCCTTTTGTTGATTGATCAATTTAGGTACTAGTGTGATAGGTAAATACGTACAGAATACTGATCTGTAGACCGATCCGTCAAGAAGTCATCCAACCGGTCCGTCATAGCCATCAACCCGACAGGACTAAAACACTTGTGGTCAACCGTACCGTTCGTATCGATAGGCCTCGTGACAAGATAAGATGCTCTCGGATCACCCTTGGAATCGCCCCGGCAGAAAGTCACCCGGTCGGTCTACCGTAGGGTAACCGGTCGTCCTGCAAGATGACGTAGCCTGCAGAGCCGAAAACGTAACTTACACGACATGTTATAAGGGCCAACTTGCGCTTGCAGAGCGGCGACTGATAGCCTGCAAAAGTAGCAGCTCAACCTCATCGATTAGTCAACCTACGCATAGTTGCAGAGCGATCGCCTGACCAAAACAATGGGAAGACGCCACGTCGAGCCACGTGCAGCAGGCGCATTAAATGCGTAGGCCGACTTAGTTAGTATAAATAGGAGAGTCTCACCCCTCACTTCGGAGATCTTCATCTTCATCTGATTACAACATCTACTCACTACATTGTAACCTAATATTTATTACATATAATACTACTCAGCCTCGGATCACTCAGTTGTCGCCTGGTAGACCGACCGACCGATCGACTAACCTATGAGCGCTTCATTCTACTCGTCCACAAACATACGTATTCGTAGTGTAATCGTAACCGCCGGTTCAATTTACACTATCATTGACGCCGTCCGTGGGGACCTGAACGAGTCACTTTCTGTCCCGTTACTTTTCTTCCTTAACGACAAAATCTACCTTGCTTGATCGAGATGGAAAACATCAGGAGAAGTCGGAGTCGGAGCTACGTGCAGCGAGAAAACTCAACCCGCCAGGTTGGATATCACCCCGACAATGTGGCTGAAATTCTTCCCAAAGATGATCGACATCGACAGTTGGACCAATCAAGACACCTGATGAACGAGCTCACCTCCAACCACGCAAGACGAACCATGCAACCTACCCGGCATGCTGACCAACCAGCTGGTCAGACTATAGTCCATCTAACCATCTTGGTACCTAGAGTGGCATGCATAGTCCAAATATTCAAGTACCTGTGGCATATACCATGTTATCCTCAACACCGTGCGGGTCAGCAATGACTACGATGCACTATCAATAAGGGGTTCCACAACAAGATATGTCGTATCCATCGCAAGGGTTTGCCCAGATGTATCAACCATGGTTAGGGATCCCCGGGTATTACTTTGTAGCATCCACTCCTCACATCTCAATTGCGGAGCAGCAACAACTAGCCACGCAGCATGCCCAACAACGGTCCCCGCAACCCCAAAATCGCATCTTTGAGGAATTAAAAGTGGTAGACCGACCGGGTAGCTCAGCCGGACCGATCGGGTACTTGGAGGAAATAAAAGTGGTAGACCGATCGCGAAGGCCCAATCATGAAGGATGTGGAGGCCACCAATAACCTGACGTCACTCAACGAGAAAGTGTTTTTGAACGAATTCAAAAAAGTGTCAAGTCCCGACTGGGTGCTCGAGATAGTCAAAGTCACTCAAGGTCGAAGTCTCAAAGAACTACAGAGCGGAGGAAAATAACACCACAAGAGCAGTCGGTCGACCGGACAACCTACAATCGGCCGGTCTACTACTTGTAGAAAATTTTTCCGGCCGACAGCTTGATCAAGTTCGTCCATCGACATTAAAATTGATTTTAAACGAGTGACTACTCTTGACTCTACTTGTGAAAACTTTGATCGGTCGAGCATTCCTGGTCCTACAATTAATGATTTAGCCCGTTTCATGGCAAAAAAAAAAAAAGCAAAAAAAAAAAAAAAAAAAAAAAAAAAAAACATCCGGTCGATCGGTTTGAGATTTTGTCCGGTTGAGTTGTCCCGGTCCTACCTACACGATCTTGTCCGGTCGAGTGTTGCATCTATCCCGCTTCTTAGCGATGAGACCTCTTGCAGGTTGTCAAAAAAAAAAAAAAAAAAAAAAAAAAAAAAAACTCCCGGTCGGTCGGTTTGAGGTTTTTTCCGGTTGAGTTGTGATTAAGTTTACTTGTTTCCTGGTCCTTTCGTTTGAGGTTTTGCCCGGTCGAGTTATCCCGGCCCTACCTGCACGATTTTGTCCGGTTGAGTTTGTGATTAAGTTCACTTATTTCCCGGCCCTTTCGTTTGAGGTTTTGCCCGGTCTAGTTATCCCGGCCCTACTTGCACGATTTTGTCCGGTTGAGTTTGTGATTAAGTTCACTTGTTTCCCGGCTCTTTCTCGTTTCCCCGGCTCTTTCTCGTTTGAGGTTTTGCCCGGTCGAGTTATCCCGGCCCTACCTGCACGATTTTGTCCGGCTGAGTTTGTGATTAAGTTCACTTGTTTCCTGGCTCTATCGTTTGAGGTTTTGCCCGGTCGAGTTATCCCGGCCTTACCTGCACAATTTTGTCCGGTTGAGTTTGTGATTAAGTTCACTTGTTTCCCGGCTCTTTCGTTTGAGGCTTTGCCCGGTCGAGTTATCCCTGCCCTACCTGCACAATTTTTTCCGGTTGAGTTTGTGATTAAGTTCACTTGTTTCCTGGCTTTTTCGTTTGAGGTTTTGCCCAGTCGAGTTATCCTGGCCCTACCTGCACGATTGTGTTCGGCTGAGTTTGTGATTAAGTTCACTTGTTTCCCGGTCATTTTCTTTGAGGTTTTGCCCGGTCGAGTTATCCCGGCCCTACCTGCACGATTTTGTCCAGTTGAATTTGTGATTAAGTTCGCATAGTTTCCCCTGGAAATATCAGGTGATATATCTTCCGGGTAGACTTTTTCTGGCCGACCAGTACGATCCTACCCGACTAGTCAGTCGATCGTACCTACTTGTCCTCGCCTTTAGTGTACAAGTGAAAGCCTTACCTATTGGGTATCCTGCATGGCTTAAGATGACCTATTATATTTAATCATTTGAAGTGTTCTATTTGCAGTTTAGCTGCTATGTATTTGCAGGGCGAAGGGCGGTCGATCAGTCGAACAAAAAAAATAGAAAGAGGAGTGGCGATTTTTTTTTTTGGACCATGAGCGCGACTGGTCGGCTGGCTAACATGGCTAGTCAGTTAGAAGAAAATCGACAAACATCACCGATAACAAACAACAACGATGCAAGCAACGACTAGGCTAGTTTTCAGCGGCATGGATGGGCGTCTAATCGACCGGTTGAACTGACCACCTGGTCGGTCGGTCAGCCGGAATCAAACGACAAACAACACATCATCATCATCAACAACACAACCAGTCGTTAAAAAAAAAAAAAAGAGGCATGGTGGCAGTGTTGAACGGTCGGCCGGCCTATGCATTTGGCAGGTCGACCAAGGAGCAATGACAAGTGGCAACACCAACAAACAAACAACATCAGCACGCTTGGATGGGAGTGTCGGTTGGCCGACCTGGGCGATCTACCAGTGGACCGGGTGACAAAAAAAAAAACTAAACAAAAACAAAATAAAAGGATGCAACAACGGCGGAGCCAGGTGTCAGCAGGGACAGGCGATTGGACGGTCAGCCGACCTGTGCACGTAGTCGGTCGACCGACGAAACATCAGGCCACAACACCGACGAAAAAAAAAACAAAGAAACAAGCAGCGGAGATTGGTGGAAGGATATGCGGCTGACCGGCCGGCCGACCTAGAAAGCACCAGACAACGACAACGGATAGCAACAACAATGAAACAACAACAACATTGAAGATGGTCGGTCGACCGTTTGAAAAAAAAATGAAGGTCCAAAGCATCGAAAAGGAGTTTAAAAGAAAAAAAAAAACAAAGGAGAAGAGAAAAACTCACGTGGTGAAGAGGATGGAGGCGCTAGCGGATCAGTGACATTGTGGTTGGTCGGCCGGGCGGCAGACGTAACGAAGAAGAAAATGAAGGAAATTTTGTGTCCTAGGCGACTTGGAAGCTAGGGTTTCGGCCAAACAAGGAGGAAGAATAATAAAACAAGACAAAAAAATGGAGTGGAGCATGGAGGACAAGGCCCGCCGGCCGAGCCGTGCTCAAGACCGGTTGGTCAGGAGAAAAGGAAACAACAACAACAACGATGATAAACCTCAAACAGTGCAATCGGACCAATCGACCTCTCAAAAAAGAAAACTTCTCATTGCACATGCACCGTCTGATCAAGACTTCTTACAAGTTATTGGAAGTTTCAAAATTATCGGAAGGAGCACGGTAGGACGACCGGTCACCCTACGGTAGGTCGACCGGATGGCACTTTGTTCGTGACAAGCTGATTGGAAGAATTACGAAGGAAATAGATCTCACTTCTCGAACCCGACGATTCTCGCGGATTCAAGAAGTGGGGGACTCGTGATGGGTAAATACGTACAGAAGACTGATCCTTATGACCGATCCGTCAAGAAGTCATCCAACCGGTCCGTTACAATCATCGGCCCGACAAGACTACTTGTGGTCAACCGTACCGTTCGTACCGATAGGCCTCGTGACAAGAGAAGATGCTCTCGGATTACCCATGGAATCGTCCCGGCGGAAAGTCACCCGGTTGGTCTACCGTAGGGTGACTGGTCGGCCTGCAAGATGACGTAGCCTGCAGAGCCGAAAACGTAACTTACACGACATGTTACAAGGGCCAACTTGTGCTTGTAGAGCACGCGGCTGACAACCTGCAAAAGTAGCGGCTCCGCCTCATCGATCAGTCAACCTACACATAGTTGCAGAGCGACCGCCTGACCAAACCAATGGGAAGACGCCACGTTGAGCCACTTGCAGCAGGCGCATTAAATGCGTAGGCCGATTTAGTTAGTATAAATAGGAGGGTCTCACCCCTCATTTCAGAGATCTTCATCTTCATCTGATTACAACATCTACTCACTACATTGTAACCTACTATTTATTACTTATAATACTACTCATCGCTCAGTCGTCGCCTGGTAGACCGATCGACCGACCGACTGACCTACGAGCGCTTCATTCTACTCGTCCACAAACATACGTATTCGTAGTGTAATCGTAACCGCCGGTTCAATTTACATTATCATAGTGTATACACATTTGAATATCGATAGGCAGTTGAGACATATTTCGTGGTTTACCTCTTCCATCGAAGAGATAAGGTCTTTAAGTTTGTGGTTTAAACATTTTGCATTTGTGATAATAAATGAGTACATGAACTAATCCTTCATTATTGGGATTCACAAGCATTAACACAATTAGTCGATGAGTATCTCCCCACACACGCTACTAACTTTCTCCACCCCATTGCACTCTTGTTATTGGCGAGGATGGGAAAACTCCTCCATCCCCACCCCTATTCCCAAAAAAAATAATATCTCCATCCTGGCCCTTGGGAGAATCAAAATTTTCATTGACTCCACATATGATTTCCTTTCATAAACACAATAAATGTTTTTTCCCCATTATTTGGAGTAAAAAATAGCGGGAAACAAAACGAAAATCTCATGAATTCTAGATCACACATGCGTTCAACTATTGCGAAACTGCCTTTGTCCCCCTCTCCCCCTGCTATTTTGCCCTACTACTTCTCATTTGCTGCCAACTGTCCCTTGCCGCCCTTAGTCGAAAGCATGACCAGGTGAGGGGCAAACCCCCCCCCCCCTTCCCCCCCCCCCAAAAAAAAAAAATGCTAAATGCCTCACCAAACCGCCCCCTTATTTTTATTATTTGAGTATTGGAATTCTATATTTGATGTCTCCTCGCACTTTGACCTCTAAACTTTCTCCCTTATTCATTTTATACTCCATCATTTCAGTTCTTGCCCTCTCACCCCTTAACTTTGATTCTTAGCCCAATTCGCATCTATAACTCTTTTCCCTTCTTACATAGGCCCCCAAATTTTATCCAAAAACTCAAACCAATCCCCAAACGTAATTAATCTATAGACCTCCACCCTTTGAGTTCAATTGACTTTGGTCCCCAAACCTATTCCCCATCAATTTCTTTTTAAACTCGTCTTCTTCTCTAATTTGTGTTCTCACCGAGCCCCCAAACTTACAGTGAATTAACCATTTAGCCCTTTACTCTGATTCGCTCTAGATTTTCTCTCTATCCGCTTTCCCCCCACTCTCTCTCTCTCTCGTTCTCGCTCTCGCTCTCGCTCTCTCTCTCTCTCAAATCGGCGCATCCCAAATCGATACATACATGTAGTATCATATGCATATTCAGCCTTCAGATGTTTGAATGTATATGTTGTGTTGAAGCACTAGGGTTTTGAGTATCAATCTCACTCGATCTGTACGAATTGAGATTTGGATGCGGATAACGTCAACTGAGCCTTTAGAGTGAGGGTTTACATTGCGAAGCTTAGGGTTTTTGGATTGTTGCGGTTCATTTCCTACCGGAGGCTGTATCGATCTGTTGCTGGATGGATTCATCGGGTTCCTCTTCCTCAATGGCGATGTCGAATAATCGAGAAGCCCCTTCCTCGTCACCAGCTGTGGCGGCAACTGCGGAAGACGAGGTTGCACCCTCTGTTGCCTCCGGACTTGCCAAGGAGGCCGCTTTGCTTTTCCAGTCGGGGAAATTTAAGGATTGCATTAGAGTTTTGAATCAGCTCTTTCAGAACAAAGAAGGCGATCCGAAGGTGAATGGATTTTATCTTTATGCATTTATTTGAATTCGACATTCTTTTGGTTGTTGTTGATGCCTTATTAGTTGTATATGTTTCGGTAATTAGTTTACTTTTAGTTGGCGAGTTATATGATCTGCATGAGGGATTTGAAATTCGTTTTGTATTTTTATACAGATTGAATTTGGCTGGGTATACTTACTATACTAATTCATATGATTTAAGTTGGACAAAATTTGGATATGCTGTAGGCTATATTTCTGATAACTGGTCCACTTTCCTGTATGTTCTGTACATTTTTATCACTTCATATGAATATCTGCAAACTTTAAAATGGAACTGCACTATGTCACTTCAGTAAAATGATTGAAGTTTTTGGCAACAAGGGGTTGTTATGTTGAAATGATTAGTTAATGTTGGAGTTGGTTTTTTTAAGCCTTTGATAGTGGATTACATGTGGAAGATGCGTGGACTGGTTCTAGAAAGGAAGGTGAGTTGCCTGAATGGCGATTGAATGAGAGTGATGGTATTTGTAACTAAGCTGTTTTTAGTTTTGAAAGAAGCCTTTTAATTGGTGACCCAGTATGGACCAATCTATTGAGTGTAAGAGGTGTTGACCATCACTTCATTTATTTATTTTTGTCTGAATGCATTATAACGTAAATCTACATGTCTCCTGCCATAATTCTCCGAGTTTAGCTTTTCAAAATTAGTCCTTTTCCTTTTTCTATTTGTCCACTTAGCATAGGTGAGATTTATATTTCTATTATTAATCCGGAACATGATTAGGGTTGGTTCTGTTCATTATGAGCATGCTTGCAATTGTTATATTTTTTTAATTTATCAAGATATTAGCATTCATCAACAGCATTTATTATTACTGCGGTTTTAGTATATTATAATGATAATAATGAGGTTTTTGAATATGAAAGATATTCCTAATGTTCTCATTTCTTCTACACTACCTAGGTTCTTCATAACATAGTCATTGCGGAGAACTCTCAAGATGGGTGTTCAAATCCTAAGAGACTTATTGAAGAACTTAATAATTTTAAGGTATGTGTCTGGTGGAAGTGTCTGTTATGATGAATTGGCTGCTTATGTGCTGTCAAAATATTCTAGACAGCAGGTGTGCTGAAGAATACTAGTATATGTGTAGTTGATATAATTTGTTTACTTGTTATCAAGAATAACCTGTATATATGTATGCCATAGTGTGTATTGTGTAATAAGCAGCTAATGTTGCTGATATTTTGTGAAACGAGAAGAGCACGGTACCTCCTTTTAAAGGGTTTAGCCAGAACACTGCCAACAGGAAGAATATTATTCTGTGTTTTATTGCACATTTGCGTACAAGGGAATATTATTTGTTTCTTTTTCATTCTGAAGTCATGTGCTCAACTACAGCTGTGACTTGAATTCAGTGATTCCTGAAATTGTGTATTCAACTACAGCTGTGAGTTGAATTCAGTGATTTCTGAAATTGTGTATTCAACTACAGCCGTGATTTGAATTCAGGGATTTCTGAAGTTTTCTTTTACCCTTTTTTCTTTCATTTTGTTCCATCACATTTCAAGAATGAAAACTTTCCTAGCACAAACTCATTATTTTATTTAGTTCTTTGTCATTCATCATTCAAGAAGCAAAGAAGCTATATTCCCCTTCTTACTTCTAGAGCTTTAAAATGTGGAAGAATAAACTTCAGCTCTAAATTTGAGCTGTTCTATGTTTAAAAGAAATATTAAAAAATATATATAACCTTTAACTCAACTCTTAATCTTCTTCATTAAAAAATAAAAAATAAAAAGGAAACAACCAGGGCTAGAGGGTTTATTTTTAGTTTTGAGCCAACCATTTCGAAAGCTGGAATTGAATGAAGGTTCTGATTGTAGTTTCATCTTTTTGACAATTGCTCCTAAAATACTGACTTAATGTCTGAATTCTTTTCTTTCTGAACTAAAAAATTTGGCTGGAACTAAACTGTACTTGGTATGGAGAAGATTAAACAATCAAGATTATAAGAGGAAAGGACTATGCTTATAGATTTCAGGTGTGCTTTGCTATGCATTCAATTGTTTGATACTTCTGGCTAACATGAAATTCTTATTTATTGTATTTTCATTGATGCTGAGGCCACTTTTTGAGACATTTAGATGTCACTTAACTACACTCCTATGTTTAGTGTGCTTTTTAAAAATCTTTGTCCTTTCTTCTTATGCACCTTCACTTCTTTTCTTATTTAGAAGCAAAACGAACATGTTGTTGGTCCATCTGGGGACCGTGCTGAGGCTACTGGCAATGTTGGTATTAAAACTGTGGCTGGAATTAAAGGAACGAATAGCTCAGCAAACCAGGATTCTAGCCTACGTAGTTCTCAAGCTGTTTACACTGATGAATTTGACCCCTCAGTTGCAATGTACAACCTAGTATGTTCCTTCTTTACGCAAGTGCTAGTCCGTTTTCATCTTGTTGATTTGATATGGATCTGTGCTTTTAAGCTTTTGATGGCTTGTTTGAATTCACTCATGTTCTTATACAGGCAGTTTCTTGGTTTCATCTGCATGAGTATGCAAAAGCATTCTCTATTCTGGAAGCATTGTTTCAGAATATTGAACCAATAGACGAGGTAAAGAAAGCACTGTGAATTAGATTATATCTGAGTTGTTCACATTATGATGCAATATGTTGATAGACCCTAGGAGTTTATTAAGCATTACCTTTCATTAGTTGATAGACCATTTATTGTTCATGTGCAGGATACTGCAAAACATATTTGTCTTTTGTTATTGGATGTTGCATTACTTTCCCAGAATGCAAGAAGATCAATGGTAACTTATTTTCACATCATTTGATACTTGGTGTATTAATATCCTGGAATGCCTTGGTTAGTTTATTTGATCTGTCAGTGAAGCACATGCTTGGGCTAATTTTCCTTTTCCCACAGGTTTATGTTGGTTTGCCTATGGCTGAATGTTTGTTAGCCTTTAGTCCTTGTGCTCAAGAAAAGATAATTTGGAAGGAGGATTTTAATGAATTACGTCCTACTGCTTTGACTCCAAAATTATACATTATTAGTTGTTCATGCTTTCAGTTTGGTTCACTTTCTGATGAATGTTTTCCATAGGGCTCATCAGCTAGTGGCAACTTAATAGATGGAAATATGCACATAACTCAACAAAAGCTTTTCTGGTTCAGTCTGTTTTTTTACCTTGGTTGTAGATATATGTCAATGGCCTGAATGCAGTTGAAGAAAAGAAATTAAAGCTGGAAAAAAACAAAGAATTGAATTTTGAATAGTCATTCAAACTGGGTGGATTGAATGATAAATCCTTTTGGTTGTAGATATATGTCAATGGCCTGAATGCAGTTGAAGAAAAGAAATTAAAGCTGGAAAAAAACAAAGAATTGAATTTTGAATAGTCATTCAAACTGGGTGGATTGAATGATAAATCCTTTTGAAATTGCGTAGAAGGTTAGGAGTATTTCATGTTTTTGTAGAACTGCCAGTACATGGGTAGAGGTTGGGGATGCAGCATAATGAACATGCGAACTATTTGTAATCATTCTGAGAAAGAATATCTGACTTCATTTTGTTTTCTGTTTCTGTTTCTAAGATGTTCTGGAAAATATAAATTCTAAACTTGAGTTCAAAAGGACAAATGAGTCTTAGGGACAGAAATTGAAGTCAGCTTGCTTGAGCTGGTACTTAGTAGACTTTCACTTTTTTTTTTTTTTAATTTTTAATTTTTTAATATTCATATTTATTTATTTATTTATATTTTAGCCCCAAAATTTACACTTTTATGACTCTTATAATAGGACTTCTGTTTATATAGTGATAACTGAGTGACTGAAATCTAACATTACAAACATCATGGATGTATGTATTTTTAAATTGAAGTTCACGGGGTGCCCTATTATTTAAGCAAATAGTTTTTTGATGTTGGAGTCTTGGAGATGGCCCAGATGGTTGCCAATTCATGGGGAGCCTTTCAGAATTGTATTTAAGACACTTGGAAGTATGAACCTTTCTGTAGTTCTGGAATTATTGCATGGTTCCTTGATATAGGAATCACTTGTCATTGGCTGACTTTTTGTTTATTAGATTGTGCTGTGCTTCAAATTGCTATGTGAGGATTAAATGCTCATGGTTGACTTTAGTTTTGGCTCTGAAATGATTTTTTAAAGTATTTATTATCAAGCTCTTTGTCAAACTGCATATCTAATGCCTTTATCAATTGACTCTAGGATGTGATTGGCTATGTGGAGAAGGTCTTTTGTAATAATAGTTCGACGAATCAAGCTGCCAGTGGGAACTCAACACAACCTGCTTCAACCATTGTGGCAAAATCTGTTTCGGTCTCCAACAATTCAACTGTTCCTGATGCACCTGCTTCTGATTCTGTAGTTACAGCAATTAACTCCGAAGGTTCTTTAGCTAGATCCTTATCTGAAGAGCGTCTTGAAGATGATACATTGCATTTAATATCATCAATTGAGATGAGTGGGCAGAACCCACCAAGACAACCTGGTATACAACCTTCAAATGATCTTCTAAAGAACCAAGCTGATGAGTCCATCTCAACAAATGATATGAGAATTAAGCTGCACCTTTGCAAGGTTCGCTTTCTTCTCCTTACTAGAAATGTCAAGGCTGCAAAACGTGAAGTTAAGATGGCCATGAACATGGCACGTGGCAAAGATTATTCTATGGCACTTTATTTGAAGTCCCAGCTGGAATATGCTCGTGGAAATCATCAAAAAGCAGTCAGACTGTTGATGGCTTCAACTAATCGGACAGAAATGGGGATTTCTAGCATATATTATAACAACCTTGGTTGCATCTATTATCGACTTGGCAAGTATCACTCGTCTGCTGTATTCTTTTCAAAGGCTCTGAGTAGTAGCTCACCTCTACGAAAGGAGAAGCCTCTGAAGCTCTCAAACATCTCTCAAGATAAGTCTTTCTTGATAGTATATAACTGTGGTATGCAGTACTTGGCTTGTGGGAAGCCACTACAGGCAGCATGCTGTTTTTACAAGGCTAGACATGTATTCTCTAACAGTCCTCTTTTATGGCTGCGAATTGCTGAATGTTGTCTAATGGCTCTTGAAAAGGGACTCCTGAAGTCTACCACATCTGTTTCTTCTGACAAATCTGGATTTGAAGTCCATGTTATTGGAAAGGGAAAATGGAGGCAACTTGTTATAGATGATGGGTTATCAAGAATTGGACAGGGTAATTCCATAGGTGGGGAAGATTTGGCACTTGGTGATGGACAACCTAATCTCTCTATGATTGTTGCTCGGCAGTGCCTTTTAAATGCTTTGGTTTTGTTGAGCCGTTCTGAGCCGAAAGATGGTGTGACTAGATTGCCCAATGCTGTTCTGACAGAGGAAAATGAATCAAGAGAAGCTGTATTATCTAAGACAACAAATTACAAAAATGCATCAGGCAGTGATACTAAGGCATCTAATGCAGCAATGTCAGGTCAGATTAATGCAAATGGGGAACTGAAAGAGCAGAAGGGTGGAAATAGTCAGAATGTCTCCCTCCTGAGCTCCATTCCAGATTATGAAGATATTTGTAGAAAAGAAAATCAGATGCTTGAGCAAGCCCTTTTGGCAGATCTGGCTTATGTAGAGCTTGAACTGGGGGATCCATTGAGGGCTCTATCAACAGCAAGATCTCTATTGAAACTCATTGAATGTTCCAAGATATATACCTTCTTGGGTAATGTCTATGCAGCTGAGGCTCTATGCTTGCTTAGCCGGCCAAAGGAGGCTGCGGAACATTTGTCAATGTATCTTTCTGAGATTAAGGGTGTTGAACAGCCATTTAGTCAGGAGGATGTGGAAGCATGGAGAGTGGAGAAGGTAGTGGATTCAGAGGAGTCAAATGGTGGCTCAACAACTATGAACGAATCTCAAGGTTTTGTGTTCCTTAAACCAGAAGAGGCTCGAGGTATTCTGTTTACCAACTTGGCTGCCATGTCTGCAGTTCAGGGGGATCTTGACCAGGCGCATGCATATGCACTAGCAGCAGCGGCAATCATACCCAGGAGTACCAAAGCTATACTCACTGCAATTTATGTTGACCTTTTGCAAGGGAAGACAAAAGAAGCTGTTGCCAAGTTAAGAAAATGTAGTTCTGTTAGATTCATTCACAACAGCCTACCCACAAATGGTTCTTTATGATGATGATGATTGTATTGGTAGTTTTCACTGGTTGTGTCAAGCCCACCCTTCTTCACATCAGGTTAGAAGGTAGTCTGACAATCCCTATATAGGTGATTTGTACCATATATAGTTCATCCCAGGAATAAGTTTTCATTTGTAACTTTTCAATTTTACATATTCAGTTGTAGGTTTATTTTGGTTGGGGGGTGAGGGGGGGAGTGGGTGCAGAGATTATTTTGGCTGTTGCAGATGCCACCACCTATAAGAGATTTGAGATCTGTAGTTTTTGTTTTAGAGAGCTGTGTTTTCTAGAGTCTAATTTTAGCTTCCCGTTCCAACCTTCCAAAGGTATAGAGTTGTGCTCTCAAGAAGATGAATTAAAGAAATTTTAATCCTTTACATTCTCAGTAAAATCATGAATGATTTATTCTTTCCTCTAGTTAGAAAACACATACATGATAACCCAGCCTAGCCCACCAATGGCTAATGCTGAGCTTCTGCCTGTGAGTTATTTTCCAGGTTTATGCTTCCTTATCATGTTGACCCAAGTAGTTCCCTGCTCTTCTTGGTTTGCTTAGTGCTCAGTACTGAATGTAGTCTTGATTGATTTTGTGGTTCTTACAATAATTTGGTAGTATTTACAGGGGTGTTTGGTAAATAGTTGTTAGTTGATTGAGTTAGTGGGTTTGATTAGTTGATAGCTGATTGTAAAAAGATGTTTGGTAAATTAGTTGATAGCTGATTATTTGTAAAATGACTTTCTCAAAAAAGTTGCTTTGAGTATTTTTTTTTTTTTTTTTTAATTTTAGCGTTTCAAAGCAAAATGCTAATTAATGAAAACAACAGTTGGTTTGGGAGAAAATACATGGCGTTATTTGTTGAATGTTGAAACTTAGTTGACGAGTTGAAAACAACCACACATTAGGCACAAGAGTGCTATTACAAATAATATCTGGTCCCTTAGTTTCATATTCACTCACTGCAGATTGGACCCAGTTACATGGTAAAGAGACTGACAAGCTTAAAGCACAAAATTTAGCAAACTATATTCAAGCTTCTTGAGGAGGGCAAGAACAAGACTACAGACGCGAAAAAGGTCGGTTACTTCCCCTTTCTTTGTTAAGGAAAGGGTAATCTGTATATCCCACAACAGGATCCTGGGTATAGAATGTTTTCCTATTGTACTTGTTGAGGGGTGCATCGAGCTTGAATCTCAATACTAAGTCCGGGTTTGCAATGAAAAGTCGACCATATGACACCAAGTCTGCGTCCCCTTGAGCGATAGCCTCAATACCAAGCTGCCTCGTGTATCCACCGCTGCAAATGAAAGTCCCCTGATAGGTGTTCCGCAGAGTAAGCATTAGCCTTGCCTCCTCTTCTTCGCTGCCTTGTTTGCCTGATTCTGTTTGCCCATAGGCTACATAACGCGGCTGAGTCACATGCAGATAGGCCAGCTTGGTTCTGATATCTACTTGTAGCTTGTTAAGCCTTTCAACAACTGCCAGGCCTAGGCTGAGCGGGCTAGAGTCCATGGCATCAAGATGGTCGATTGCTGGTGAAATTCTGACACCAAGACGATCAGCACCAATGGCAGTTGCAACCGCTTGAACCACCTGCATAATGAATTTGCAGCGGTTTGCAAGAGATCCACCATACTCATCCTTACGGTTATTGATCCCATCTTTCAGAAACTGGTCAATGAGATAGCCATGAGCTCCATGGATTTCAACACCATCAAACCCTATATTTTCAAGTTAAACATACGAGTTATTGTCCCAGGGCAGCACACTATGCAATGTTTTAACGCCAACAACATAAAGAGCATAAATATACACGAAAAGCAAAAAAGAAAACCTGCTTCAATAGCATTAATAGCTGCAATGCGATAATACTCCACCACGTTTGCAATATCATCGACTCCTACTGCCCGTGGTTTAGGATAGATACCATGACTCCCATCCGGCATCAGTATCCTCCACCTCTTTGATATTGGCTTATCAGTGGAAGATATAGGCGCGGATCCACCAGGTTGATACACTGCCCAATTTGATTCAAACCCACCACATTAGAAACATCATTGACCACATTTGAACAACTTCATAACAAAATTCAGGTTTCAAGAAAGACATTCACATCATATTTATAGAATAATAAAACGATGCATATTGTTCTATGAAGCACTGTATGTGCACACTAGTTCATTAAAAAAGACCAGGAAAGAATACTAACAGCAGTTATCATCATCACCATCACCATGTTCAATTACTGAAGTAAATAAATAAATAAAAAGACTACCTTGATGAGATGCACGACCCACATGCCATAGCTGACAGAAAATAATAGCACCCTTGGCATGGACAGCATCAACCACCTTCTTCCATGCCTCCACTTGCTCCTTTGTGAAAATCCCGGGCACATGTGGAAACCTAAAACCAATTAAAATTCACTCAGAAGCTAGGTAGCACAGAAACAACACAATTTACATACTGAATGGTCACAATTTACATACTGAATATTCACAATTTTACATGCTAAATGTTCACAATTTACATACTAAATGTTCACAATTCAAATTGTGAACATTCAGTAGGTAAATTGTGTATATTTTGAACTCGGTCCACCTTGTAAGGTGGACCTGAGTCAATGGTATAACTATTGTTGATTCTTTGGGCTGAAAAGGATTATTGAGAAAATATAAAACAGATACTATCTTGTAAAGAATTATGAATTATGAGTATTTAAAAAAAAAAAACTTTTAAATACAACTTACACAACATCTTCACATAAAGTGACAAATAATATAATTTCAAACTCAACAAGTCAACAGTGCACATAAATTGTATTCACTTTCTAAGGAGTATTTTTTTTATGTTTCTTTTCAGCCACTTGCAAAGTTGTTATCAGCAGACATCACTGATCCCACAAAGCATTATATTAAGCACTATATTTTATCCCTATCCATATTTAAAAAAGGTTCAGAGAACATGCCATGATAGACTAAAGGAAATACACAAACAAAAAGGTAAAATGATTGAAATATTGAACAAATACACACACACACACCGCTATTGACAATAAAGTCCCTATAAAGTCATGAAAATTACACCCATACCCAGCAGAAGTTGGGTCAATCATGGTCCCCTCAGTGATGAGAAATCCACCTTGGGTAGCCCTCTGTGAATAGTACTCCGCCAGCGCCGCCTGTGGAATTCCATTTATTGCTCTACACCTTGTACATGGAGCCAATACTACCCTGCAATATTATACCACACAAATTTCAAGGGTTATTTGTAATCACTAATCATCACCCTAAAGTCTCCAACTTTTTTGAGATTTTTCCCAAAATGCAGAGAGATCTAGAGATTCATGGCAGATACAAAAATACCCATTCTTGTTTTGTCAAGGATCGTGAAACAAACAAAGTACCCACTTCGTTTTGAAGCAAAACTTACCTGTGGGAGAGGTTGAACCTGCCCATCTTGTAGGGGGAAAAGAGGCTTGGCGTTGAGCCTTGATCCAGCGACGAAGTTCTAGCCATGGTGATGAACAATTGCTGAGTTGACGATCAGAAGTGAATCTGTAGAGAAAGGGAGAGAGATGGGGAGGAAGAGAACTTGAAGAGAATATAAAGTTGAGAAAGTATGCTGAATGGAGGAGAATAAAAAAGTTGAAGCACGATTTCCACAGAAATGGTGTGCGGAAAATGAGAATGGAATAAGATATTTGGCCATTGAAAATATTACAAATAATTATCGTGTTCATTCTTAGTGGGAAAAGAGATCAAATAAACCTTCCAACTTTACTTAAGAAGTCAATTAGGTTCCAAACTTTTAAAAATTGTAATGAGACACATTAATATATTAATTTAGTGCATTAAGATCCAAAAATCTAATAAGTACATGTAATAGCAGGTCAATAATGCACCGACAAAACTCCAACAACTTTTCGAGAACCTCTGAAAAGAAAACGGCAAGGCGTAAAATTTGAGGCATAATTGACTTCTTAAGTAAAGTTGGCAGGTGTATTTGGTCATTTTCCCTATTATTAGTATATAGAAAGTCTATTTTTAATGTATCCAATGTTCATAAATGGCCAAGCACCTTGTGCATCGATGACACCTGGGTTAGACCTGCATATGAGAGGTTGTGATTTTGAGCCTCAATAGAGGCGTTATTGGCTCTTTGTGTTTTAGTAGGTTGAGAAAGTAAGAGTCAGTAATATAGTGGTCTATTTTATAAAGTGGATCATGAGGCATAATATAGTGATTGGGAAAAAAGTAATAAGTAATACTCCAAAAAGAAAAATAGATGAACCAAGTAGGAAGTGTATGTCATTGTGGATGCTAATTTACACGAATAATACAAAATCCTATATATAATAAAGCTATATGGTCTTGTGAAAATTAAATGGTGATAATCAACATTTAATTTTCACAAGACCATAATAATATTGTTAATTATAATAACAATAACAATAATAATAATAATAATTGCAATAATAATAATGATAATAATTTCCACTGACAGTTTCTAATATATATATATATATATATATATATATATATATATATATATATATATATATATATATATTTATTTATTTATTTATTTATTTATTTATTTATTTATATATTTATTATATTTATTTATATTTCAATTTCTACTGGCAAATTATTGTGTGAATGATGGTCCACGTAATTATATGGATCATAAATATCAAATACATTTTTAATATATTAAAAATACATTATTTTTATATTGAAAGTACCTTACATACATATATAATGTACCCTTAGTATATTTAAAATATACTTTTTATTGCATGCAACCCCAAAGTTCATAAGTTTGAAATTAATATATGGCATAGCTAGGCGGCCTAATATTTAAGATTGTTGATGTGTATATTGAGGACTACGGAGACAAGGATGCGTTATTTGTGAATTCATTGGATACTATCCAATAACACTCTCCAACTTAATTGACGTGAAGTAGGCTTAGTAACATTAAGATTATATTCTCAAATTATTAGTTCTCAACTTTTATTGATTACACACTTAATTCGATAGTATTTGGAAGAAAAAATTAATGTTCGGACTAAGATTGTGATTTTGGTCTTTAAAGGTCAATTGTATGTTGCTACATCTAGAGTTAGAAATCTCAAAGGTCTAAAAATTTTGATCCGTGGTGACTCTAAAATTGTAATTCAATTACTATTGTAGTTTACTAAGTTCTTAAAAATTTGTAATATTAAATACTATATACTAAATTTTTAATATAGTTTAAGATTTGTAGTAATCACCCACCTTAAATATTATTTTAATTGTAAATATATTTATGTTCATAATTTTATCATAGGAATTTACACATAATAATTATTAAATAACAAAAATTTTATATATGAATAAACCTCATATAGGATATATTTTTATAACATATTTTCCGTGCATCGCACGGGACAAATACTAGTATATATAAAAGTACAAATAACAACATTATGCATATATATTGTACTACTAGTTCTTTTATATTTTTTAAAAATTTTTTATAATGAATATTTTTTTTTTAAATAAAGCATTATAGACATCTAATTTTAGATTAATACATATGTATTATTTTTTGTTGTAGCTACTAATTTATTTAATTTAATAAGAGTAATAAAGTGTTGTACATACTTTTCATTAATAATAATGAAATCAATGATTTTTTAAATTTCCATTCTTTGTTGAGACAAATTTTTTTGAGAGTTTGTCAATGACAATTGCTACAATTATTGTCAATAGAGGATAATAATAAATAATTCAAAATATTTGGTTACAATAGATATTGTTATAATAACATAGTAAAAATTAACTTACAGATTTCTATTGTCAATAGAGGATGATAATAAATAATTCAAAATATTTGGTTACAATAGATATTGTTATAATAACATAGTAAAAATTAACTTACAAATTTCTTTAGAAGTTTTCATGCATTGATCAAGTTCTGATGTCACTTGTTCAATTGGAGCTAGTAAGATAACATTGTCAATTATTTAGAAAATGGTCTCACCGTTTTAGAGCCTATGTGTAATTGTATTTATGATCAACAACTTTGTAGTTAGGTCACGCAAGTGTGACAATGATGTAAGAACAATTTTGTCCGATAAAAAAAATAATGGTAGAATATATTTGTAAAGTAATGTAAAATTGTACCATTATAAAAAAAAATACAAAAAAATATTAATACCATATTAACCTAAATCTTTCCAATAATGCAAAAGCATAATTGAAATATTAAGTTTCTTTCTAAATAATCAAAAGAAGATTAATTAAAAAAAAAAAAAACTTGACCTAAATTTGTTTGCTTTTTTTTTTTTAAAAAAAAAAAAAATCAAGAAAATCAAATGATTTTTAAAGTTCATGATTTATAATCTTTGATGCTCAACTTTGAATGCTATGTATTTAGTCGGGCTAAATATTTGACCAAAGTTTATGTTAAATTTTATATATATATATATATATATATATATATATATATATATATATATATATATATATATATATATATATATATATATATATATATATATATATATATATATATATATATATACAGTTTAACATATTCATAATATATGTTTAACAATTATGTCAACTCTGTGGTTCGAACCTAAGACCTTTCTTATATAAATTAATGAGTATGTTAAGAATAATAAATAGTTAACATAATATTTTGTTACTAAAGTTTATACTAACGGAATTTAAGGTTATTTAAGGGAAGAAAATAATATAATAGAGGGTAAATAAGGAAAATCATTAAAAATATACTAAAATCAAAATAATATGAACCATTCATTTCAAAAAACAATTGCTACCGACATTTTTTTTTTGTAATACCCACAACCTTATAAATAAAATATATATATGTTTAGTAAATGAGGTCAACAAGTCAAAGCTTATTAAAACTTGATATTAGATAAAATTACTAAATTACCCTTCTATACCCTTAAAGATTAAAGAATCCCTTGGTCTTGGAGAAAGATCTCTTTTAAAAGAAGATAAGAGAGTTGACTAGAGAGATAAGGCAAGGAAAAATCTTGAAGCTTTGATCTCCATCTTCTTCAAGTTTAGGTCTCAAGTTATTGGGAGTATTCTAGGGATTTTGACAAGGAGTATTTGGGCGAGTTTAATAGCTAAGATTTGGATGTTTTTAGGTAAGTGATTAACTCTTCTCTCCTTATTTTGCAAAACCCATAACTTATTATGGAATAATCTCCACTACTTTAAATACCCATTTAGGGTTAGTATGAGTTAAAAATATTTTAGACTATGATATGTTTCTGGGTATGAAATGCTAAACTGAAGTCTGGATTGAAATTGTGTTTGGGTTCGTTGGAACTGTGTTTTCGGAATGGATATTAAGGTAAATTATTTCTGACTGAAATTATACCTATGTGTTGAGACGGTAGAGTGGTTTATGGTTGCTGTGCAAGGGATAGGTCGTGGGTTTGACTTTCTTTGCTAGCATACTGTGTGTTTTTTTCTATACCATATGCTTTATAAAATGGATTATTTATGTAAAGTGAGACTTGAACTCTAAACCTCATGCTTATTAACTTAAGTTCTTTCTACCTAAGCCATTTCAATCCCTTTGAAACTACTTTAGTAATATACCATTTTATAATTTTTAAAGAGTTATGTACTAAGAAAATTATTATTTTGAGAATGGTTTATACCTTGCATATTTCTTAGTTTGATAAACTTATTATCTATTTTGGAAATATGAACTTTGTTATGTGATCTTAAGGAAATGATTTTTGCTACATCGGGCTATTTGATTATAAGAACTATTTTGATTGTTTGATCAAACTCATGAGGCAACCTACATTTTGTTATTTGTTTGTTTGTTTGTTTGTTTTTTTTTTTTTTTTTTTTTTTTTTTTTTTGGCTTGGAACGTTCCTAATTGCTTCTTCCGAATCGTCGAGCTTGACTCATTCCGAATCGTCGAGTCTTTTGAATTATTTTTTGGAACGTTCCATCCGGCTCATTCTGAATCGTCGAGCCTAACTCATTCCGAATCGTCGAGTCTTTTTGGACCATTATGCCGATAATGGTGGTTGTAGGTTGCCAATGAGTCATATGTTAAGGAATGATTGGTGCTTTTGAAAGTATTGCATTATGAAATGATGTTGACGCCCATGTAGCTAAAGTTTTCCGTTTTGAGAATTTGTGTATAGTATGATGGAAGTATGTTATAACTTTGATATAGTTTAAGGATTGAGTTTTGCATCTATTTATTACTCTAAAGCTTTTTGTACTCTATTGGGGGTTACTTGATCCGGGGTTGAGAGGAGTACCACTTACGGGGCATTAGCTCATTATTTGTATATTTTTCCACATGTTTTAGAGTAGTTAATGACATGTGAATAGCACGAGCACAAGTGGTGGGTTCTTGAAGTTGACTCTTGAAACTAGGAGACTTAGTCCTAGTATTGGACCTTATCACAGACTTTTGTTTATTTGGATATTCTCTTTGACCCTTTGTATTTTTTTTGTAAACCATTGTGCTTGGTTTCGGCGCTTGTGATGCATTTTGGACATACTGCTCTTGATTGTAAATATTTAATAATGGATTTGATGAGTTTTTGGGAAGAACTAGTTGATTATATTTTGCCATTTTAACTGTGGAATCATCATGTATTCAA